AAATGTGTCAATAAAATGACTCCTAATGACATTGTATATACCCATAGATCAGCGCCTTGTTCAACCATCATCATAGAAGCTTTCTCCTGTGGCAGATGGGAACAAATACAGAGATCCACATTCAGACGTTACACAGAAAGACTTTTGAACATACAGCTCTGAATGGGATGTCGCCATCAAATTATTCCCCTCAGTGAGACTTGTAGATAAAGAGTCAGAAAAAATGTTAGAGTCAGAGGGGATGGATGACAGCAGGAGAACAAGGCCCTTAAATCAGCTGGAAAAAAAGCTCACATGAACTCACAGAAACTAAAGCAGCAAGCACAGAGCCCGCACGAGTCTGCACCAAGTCTTCTGTGTATGTATTACAGCTTTCAGTTTAGTATTTTTTTTTTTTTTTGTTTTTTCGAGACAGGGTTTCTCTGTGGCTTTGGAGCCTGTCCTGGAACTCTGTAGACCAGGCTGGTCTCGAACTCACAGAGATCCGCCTGCCTCTGCCTCCCGAGTGCTGGGATTAAAGGCGTGCGCCAGAGGTATAAGTTGGCGCATCTCTGATTCTTTTGCTTTCTCTTATGGCTCATTTCCTCCTGTTGGCCTGCCTTGTTCAACTTTGATATGGTCGTTTTTGTTTCATCTTATTATAAGCAAATTATGTATAAAGTTCAAAGTATGAAAAATAGTATGTACTTTATACAAGTGGTTACAGAATAACTCATGGTGATTATAACAGCATGTAAAAGACCCATGCCAGTCCAAGCCAGACAAATTCCAGCAAGGAGAGAAGTGAGCATCCACTTCTAACTGAAACTATGGAGCTACTGGAATCTGTTAACCGCTGAGAAAAGGAAAGACAATTCTAAGAGTGCAGCCCTTGGGAAGCTGAACACTTTCCAGCACAAAGACCATAAATCCGAAGGTATTTGGGCAGCATAAACTGGTCTTTTTTCTTCTCACAAAATTGGTCTTGAAGATTTTTTTAAAAAATGATTGTCATAAACTTGGGTCAGTAGAGAAAGGAAGAATAAATTGAGGAAGAATTGAGAGAAAAAGATACATATGTTCAACAAACATTTACATGGAAATCAAAGAACCAATAAAAATACAACATACATATCTATGAAGATAAATATCAAAAGTAATGACTACCAAAACCAAGTTTGTAACAGTTTTCTTATAGATTGAAACATTCCATCCTGCAATGGAAGGTCCTTAAACAAGAAGATCAACAATTCAAAATAGCTCCAGGAAGTCCATGAAACTGACCAGATTCGTGAGGTCCTTCCCTGCCAGAGTAAACAACAAAAACTGAGATCTCTCAGCTTAACAACCCTGAGCTGAAAAGATGACTCTCAGAGAACAAAAGCTGCAAAGAAAACTGAGACCAGTCAAGCTGCCTGTAAGAAGCTGAAACCAGTCAACCAGCCTGTAAGAGGTTTAGAAGAGAGTCACTACTGTTGAATAATCCTTTTGTACACTGTAAAGATGTGCTGCTGTCATTGTTAATAAAGAACTGACTGGCCAATAGCCAGGCAGGAAGTAGTTAGGTGAGAGAGCCAAACTGAGGAGACACAGCAGAAGCAGGAGATGAATATGTTATGCTGAAAAAGGTACTGATATGTAATAGAGCATAGATAAGAAATACGAGTTACTTTAAGATGTAAGAGCCAGTTAGCAATAAGTCTAAGCTATTGACTGAGGACTTGAAGTCAATAATAAGTCTCTGTGTGGTTATTTGAGAGCCGGTGGTCCAGAAGAGAAACTTTGCCTACTGTCACTTTGAAGGGACACTCTCCAACCTTCCGAGTTGTCTTCAGGTTGGACAGAGTGCTCCAGTTTGCCAGCTTTTATGTACTGTCACCAATACTGGAGTAGACATTGTTTATGCAGCTATCTTTGAGTCATTTCTGCTTCTATGAATAACCCCTCAGCCATACTTCTGTAAATAACTCAATCAAACACATTGGTTCACTAAGTTGGACTTTGGTGGTATCCATACTTTGGTCTGTGGCAGACTTGCAAGATGGAGTGAGTAGACTTGTTGTGTCTCCTCAGGATAAATTTTGTCACACAGCGACAGGACAGTGGTCATATCTCAAAAGGAATATTTTGGGATAAATGAGGGCAAACTTTATTAAGTTTTTATGTTCTTTTAATTAGGCCAAAATTATACCATCGGTTAATATATAGTTGTCATTGCTTCGCATTCTAACATAATATAGTAAATAGCAAAAAACATTCTTAAAAGACTCATGACATATAAACTGCTAGAGCATTAACATGTTCATGTCTTCCTTTCCCTTCCCCTCCCTTCTTTTCTCCCTGTCTTCTCTCTTCTGTTTCTCCCCCAATCTCACACCTATGAATAGTGTCTTGCTGGGTTTACCAGGCTGCCCTGAAACTTTCCAAGTAGCTTGGAACTTGAGAAACTTGTGCCTCCTCCTGGGCAGTACTGGTACTAAGGTTGTGATCCACCAACATGTGTCATTTAACATTTTAATTAGATAATGTGGGAAAACAAGAAAACACACAACCAATTTTTCCCTTCACAACAAGAATTCTACTTTAAATTTTTGAAAAAAACTTGTAAGAAATTATGACTATTAACTGTGTTTGTGGTTTGCTGGCAGTCATTTGAGGATTTCTTTTCAAAAGTTTAGTACATTTCAAAACTTTCTACAGTGGGTTTGTGTTACTTTTCCAATGTAATTTTTTCCCCTCCTAATAACAAACAGGCAATCAAGGGTAACTTTCTAGAGAAACTGGCTTTTCTCTCGTAGTGATGGGTGGAAAAAAGGCCTTGTATATGATACTCAAGGACTCCATCACCAAGCTACACCCTAGCCTGAAATCTTCATTTAATACATTTTGAGACTGTTTTTGTTTTTTATTTTTTACTTTTATTAAACAGATTTCCCCCCATACACTAAAATCTGAATACAGTTTTTCCTCCCTCTACTCCTCCCAGTTTCTCCCCACCTCCTCTCCCATCTAAATACATGCCCTTTCTGTCTCTTATTAGAAAAGAACAGGCTTCTAAGAGATAACAGCAAAACATAAACAAAATAAAACTTCATAAGATAAAACAAAACCCATCATAATGAAGTTGGACCAGATAAGCCAACAGAAAAATAAAAGAGCCCAAGAGAGGGCACAAGAATCAGAGCCCTACTCGGTCTTCCCTTCCAGAGTCCCACGAAGGCACTAAACTGAGAGCTATAGTGTACGCAGAGGAACTGGTGCAGACCCATGTAGGCCCCGAGATAACTGCTCCAGACTCCGCAAGTCCATATGATCCTCCAGGTTTGACACATTTTCTTTTTGAGAGGATGGTTTGTGTTTCTGTGCAGAAATCTTACAGAAATGCAAATGACTTTGTCCAATAGAAAGAGCCTGTCTAGTAGAATACAAATGTCTTCAGTCTTATGTGAAAAATAAACCTCTAAATTATGGTTTTATTGCTCTGTAGAGGATTAACCAGTTCAAAAATAATAGTCTTAACAAAGCATTATTCCTTCCAATAATTCCAAGTAGGATGTTTCTCTGAAAATCTTTCAAACTGGCTTTATCACTCTGCTGGTTCCCTTAAGGAACGAAACCAACCAACCAAGCAACACCAAAGTGCCTTTAGAAGACAAGGATCTTGGCCATGACACCAGTACTCCTGAGGAGGAGGCAGGGGGTTAACAAATGGAAGGCAAGCCTGGGGGGGGGCTGCATACCAATAATTATTGCAAAAAAAAAAAAAACCAAAAGCCCAAACCCTTTAGCGTATATTTATTACATTTTTTTTTTGAGACAAAGCTTCTCTGTGTAGCCCTGGCTGTTCTGGGACTCACTTTGTAGACCAAAGTGGTCTTGAACTCACAGAGATCTGCCTGCCTCTGCCTCTTAAGTGCTGGGATTAAAGGCATAAATTTTGTTTTAAATAAAGAAATACCCTGAAAATTTGGAAGCATTATACCTGGCAATAAACCTTAAACATGAAATAGTGTCTTTCTTTTGGACACTAACATATATGGTTGTTAGTTTTCCATGCCCAGTCCACCTTGATTTATAATGCTGCTAAAATATATAAAAAATGGAGAAAAGATAATAACTCAAAATGATTTTAAAAGAAAAACATTTATGGTTTCATAAGGTTGAGGCTGAAAATTCTACATGAAATATCAGTGTTTTCACAAGCTTGCAAAAATACTCTAATACTAAGCAACATTATTTTTTTTTATGTACTCAGTGGGATACTGCTTCTCTTGCTTTCAAATGAGATTGAGAGACATTGTACTGAGTTGGTTGGAAGATCATAAGCAAAAAAGCTAAGAACAGCAGGCACATGAACAAAGAAACAGAGCGGGAAACTGGCCATTCAAGGAACCTGCACTGAGCAAGTGACGGATATTAGCCCAGAGATGGCTTGCAGCTCCTGAAATTGACAGGGATAAAAAATTCAAGATAATGTGATTCCTTTCCAATGTTATAGGAACCAAAAGGAGAAAGAAACTTCAATTCAGATAAATAAATCCCCACCAAATAGTAATTATTGGTTTTTCATACTTCTGGTAAAATTTCAATTTAGATATCCATGATTTAGGAGAATACAAAAAGTATATAGACATTTTATAGAATAAGTGCATAGAAAAACAAGGCCTTTTTTTCTCTAGGAATAAATTCAATTTGCTGGTTATAATTTATTTTTATTGCTGACCATTAGAAAAGAAGATAACAAAAATAACAAGTAACAGCAGCAGCAACAAAATACTTATCCCTGCCTTCCCCCAGGTCACTAATGTACAAAAATGGGGTCAGACTCCAAAGGATGATTGGCAGATTACACAGAACAGCTAGCACACATCTGCCATTGCAGAGTTTCCAAAGAAATGTTAGTTTCTTTCAGTGAGTTTACTCCCTGGGGGACATTGCACAATGTCCAGAACCATTGTTGATTGCTACAAGAGGGAAGGGTGGGTAGGTTCACTGGTATTTAGGTGGGTGAGGCTGTGAATTCTGCTAATGTTCTGCAATCCACAATAGCACTGATCCAGGTCAGTCCACAGTGCTAAGATCCAAACACCCAGCTGACGGAAGCTTCTCTTTATATCAGCTGTCGATGAGAGGTGCTCTCAGTCAGAACCAAAGAAATTCTAACCATTTCTAGATCTACTGCAGGTTGCCTCAGAGCGGGTGGGACAAGAAAGAGAACGTGGTGGAATTAAGAAGAGTACTGTCATCTAGAAGGAGGTGACATCTATAGAGGAGGAGCCACTGCAGTAGCTGACTGTCAGAGTTTAACCGTAAGTACAGAAGTGCCTTGATCTGGGAACTGTCACACCAACATTTTCGCCTTAGCTACTTTCCAAGTTCCTTCTAGCTTCCCACCCTATTCTCCCAGCCCCAGATTCAACTCGTGTGGGTTAAATCCTAAGGAAGACAAAGATAACACTGTTAGAACTCTAGAGGGCTGTCCTAATGAAACCCACAAACTCTTTTAGAAGAGAAGGCATTCTGCTACCAGGAGGGTAGGCAGTCCAGTGACTGCCTGTGTAAACAGAGGCAGGGAAGGCCTTCAGTCATTCTGATTGTTCAAACCCGGAGAACTTGGTCAATTGTTGTTTTAAACTCTAAAACAGCAGCAGACCTTTGTGGAGAGGGGTGTGGAAGCCAGAGTACAAATACACGATGTTGCCAGGAGACAGGAAAAAATGCAGAATTTTGGAGGCCACATACTCCAAAGTGGCCAGTTCAGACTTCAAAGTCCAGACTGGTGATCCAATCAGCCAGGATCGTGGAGCACTTCCTTTGCTCACACCCCAGTTGGGAGTTTCTGCATCAGTAGTGTTGTCTTTGATTACAAAGACCGTGATATGCGTATGAATATGGGTAATTATGGTATGCGTGAGCCAGACAGTGAATCAGATCTGCCAAACAGAATGCTAGCGTGTATGCACACGCAAAGACTCACATGTGGTTTTAGTAAATAACAGCCAAACACGTTATTTTCTCAAGAAATAAAAATAGGAACCAATTTGACATGCCAAGTTAAAATACAAAAAAATGGAAACAGATACCCACACGCTTGAGTTTTCTTTCCACTGAATGATCTAGGCTGACACTAAATAGTACAATTTTTACACTTCATGTAACATTTCCTGTGCTCTTTGTCCCTGCCGAAGAGCTTACACTGTCCCTAAAAAAAATCATTTGGAGATGGCATGTTAAACTCAAGCATAGCACAATCAGCTAACTGAAAGAGTTGAAACTAACCTCCGTTTCTCATAGCCCATTATCAGATGACATATATTTAAAAAGAATACCGCACTGGGTGAATAAGTTGAGTAACTTTATCTGCCGTTTCCACTTAAGCAATCCTAGGAAAAACAAGAGAAGAGGTGGGGACGAGGATGCTTTGGCCTCGTTATTTCTTCCAGGATCTGTTCCTGCTGTCAATTTGACCCTGAAAAGCATATCTCAGGATTCCTGAAGCTTAGAACCCACATTCAGCATGCAAAGTTTTCCTTCCATGCCACTAAAATTGATTAGACATCTTTCTTGAGCTAGTCTTAGAACCAGTGATGACTTTCTCTAGTAAGTGAATAGACCTAAGTAATTCAAGACATTGTACATAATATTTGAATGCTTCCTCTAAAAAGATTGCCAGTAGAGTATGAGGCAGATGCTATGGATTACAGAAGACACATAAAGGGTGTTTTGTTTGTTTGCTTGCTTGCTTTTTTTTTTTTTTTTTTTTTTTTTGAGACAGGGTTTCTCTGTGTAACTCTGGAGCCTGTGTAGATCATTGGAGTTTTTTCTTAGCCTGCATGAGGCCTGGGTTCTATCCCAGGCACTGTGAGAAGCAGCCAATCAACTGACAACCAAATCCCCACAGAACCATAGTCTTGGATTCCACCCTCTATTCTGTGTTCTCAATGGAGTCTTAGACATTTTGACCAAAGTAAAATTATTATTCCCACACTATTTTATCTTTCATAACATATACTTGAAGGTACATTTTAAATATCTATGTGAAACAGATTAAGTATATTTAATATATTGGATACAGTTAATGTTCATAAATATTTATATGATGCATATGTATAAATATGTACCTTCCTTAATTAAAATAAATTGAAGCTTGTCCACCAGGCTAATTTCAGCTTTAGTGCTACCAATGTGAACAGAATTGCTTTTCTGGGAGTAACGCAATTTAGTATGTTCCATTAAGTAAAAAGGTACAGTGGGCTTAAATTTGGAGATCTGAGTTGGTCCTTGCTTGGCTGCCTATAGCCTAGCTGGCTAAGCTGTTTGATCTGCCTGAACTTCAGAGTTCTCTGGCATGAAGAGGTGTTCCACTGGGGGTTGGGAAAGGTGGGGCGAGAAAGACACCTGAGAGGACTGGGTGATAACTTAGTTCTGTGTGTGTGGTGGGGAGACAGTTAATGTCATCACCTCCGAGTCCACAGTTAGTGTTGGTGTATAGTAGCTTGGCTAGTGTTGGTGTGGGAAGCTTGCTTGGTTCACTGCACTTTCATTTGGTATTTGTTTACACCGAAGCTTGGCTATGTAGTGAGCTGGAGAGCACACTCAATAACTCTGCTGGCACTCAGATGCGGTGTATGCTTTCTCTGGAACCACAGTATTGTTAGCCTGTTCAGCCTGTCAAATAGGTTAAACCAAACAACAAATGTGATCTTTGTGGTGTCCTTTTGCTGTATTTGCAGAGAAATTCTTAAATTTAAAAATGTGCATTTATAAACTTGATGTATGAAATAAAATAAGCATCAAGGAAATATCTGTGAGAAAACAATAAATGTGTGATAAAGGTATTATTTTTTTATATTTTAAAGATTTATTTATTGTTATTTTATGGGCATGGTATTCTGCCTGCATATATATGTATGAGCTGTATGCACGCCTGATAGTGGAGAGACCCGGGAACTCTGCTGAGGACCCCTGAGCCACAATGTGGGTGCTCGAAACTAAATCCATGTCCTCTGAACCACTGAGCTATCTCTCCATCCCCAAAGGAACTAGTTTTACAAGGACATAGAACATCACAAAAATAAGGCCATGATCTAAGAAAGAGAGAGGTTGCTACCATGGGATTTCATTTGACTGGTGTCTCTAATGACAGTGAATCAGTCCTGCTTTCGAGATGTAAACAGAATAAACCACAGAAAACATGACAGTTTGCTCTCTGATTCTGACCACAGTAGCATAGTTTGAAGTTTTTTTCCCAGTTTTTTTTTTTCTTAAGAAATGTTTTAGGAATCAACTCTGGAAGAAATATCCACTCACGATCAAAATTATAAAAACACTACAGGCATGACTTGCCCTTTCCTTCTTTTTGAGAATACAAACTTGAGACTGTTGCTTTTATTTCTTGTAGAATTTTTGAAATCTATTATAAGCATGGGACCGTTATTCAAGTTTTAAGATGTGGTTCACAACTGCTTGACCTGGGGGATCATTCTTCTGGGGTGTTCATCATCTTTCTGTGAAGTATTCATTTAAGTATCCACAACCACATTTTATTTGTGTGTGTGCGCACCATATGTATGTGTTCATGCAGGTATGCACATATGTACATGAAAGTCTCTTCCTCATAAATTCTAGTGTTACAGATGTGCACCACTGTGCATGACTTTTACGTATTTGCTAGGGATCAGAACTCAGGTCCCCATGTTTATCTAGCATGCATTTTAGCAAGCAAGCCTTCTTTCCATCCTCAATCTTTTATTTACACATGACCAAGAATGAACATATTTAATCTGGACCATGGCTGAGTGGAAGGATTAGTAAGGCAATTTAGAATAAAAAGAAAATCCTTGTAATGACAACCAAGATTTTTATACAAATGAACCCTGAGAATGCACACGTGCACCTGTGAATCTTCATCTTTATCTCCTTTCGCTGTGCCCCTGTGGCTCTCGGAGTGGCAGCCTGAGCTCTTGGTTAGAGGTCCAAGGCTTTGATGGCATGCAATGAATCCTTATAGCAATGCGAGGCTCCTTAGTTATCTGCACACACTATGAGTAACTTGAGTACAAGCCTGCTCAAGTATGCCGCAGTGGATGGGTGAGTTATTACCAATGTGAGTGTATGCTACTTAAGCGGCTAAAACAAGCCACAAGTACTTCAGTAAACATCTTACTTCAAACCATCCGTTCTCAGTCTTGCTGTAAAGTAGACCCAGGGGCAACCTAAAGTTATAGCAAGGCCTAGACTCCAACCCCTGAGACTCTGCCGTAATTGCTATGGGATACAACTCGGGCATGTGGAGTTTTAAAAGCTCCCTAGGTGATCCTGATGTGCATTCAAGGTAGAGAAAGATGACTTTAGGGTAAGAAATCTGTCCTCTTTCCTCTGAAGGCTTCATCATTGTACAGATTTTGAATTCTATCTCTTGAATGTATACCACAAAACCCAACAGTGACTAACTGATGCCAGAGGCTGACTTAATAGACTCTGTCTCCATGTACCTTGGGTCTCTTCAGCTGTCCTTCTAGAAGGACATCTTCCAATGACCCTGAATGTGTGGCTCCCTTTAGTGTAGAGTCCAAATATTGGATTTAAACACGTGGCATTGCTGACTTGCTCCAACTTTGCTCTGTCTTCATTGATGTCTTCGACCCAAGTTCTTGCTCTAAGGGTTGGGAGCAGGCTTGCTGAATCTGATCTCAGCCCTGGCCCTAGTATGTCAAACCTTGCCCGTCTACCATGAGGGGACACTGAAATTTTGTCCCAGACTTCTGCCTTGGGGGACTATTGTGCACAAATACGGTCATTAACACTACCACTGGGCCAATTTATTCATTCCAGATGTGCCTATTTCCACAAAACAGCATTTAGGTGTAGCTGATATTTTTGGAAGCTGAAGAAATGAATCACAAGAGAATTATGCTGTTTTTATAATAAAAATGTAATGGATATACTTAGGAAAAACACTCCTTTTCTGTAATAGGCATGCTTTTTTGTGGTCTCTGCTTGGCCCCTGAAATCCACAGGTGCTTCGGGATAACCTCAAGGCTTCATCTCAAACAGAATGAACGAATCAGGAATGTTCTAGGAAGTTATTCTTTAATATCATGGAATTTGGCCTTGCTAGTTTTCCAAGAAGGGTGAACTTTGCAAGTACTTAAAAAACTTTCTTTCTCCTTCCAAATTTACATGAAGTATGCACGAGAATGTGAAAATATTCCCTTAGTTCAAGGAGTGAGCTTCGTGCCTTAAGATTATGAGGACAGCTAAAGGTGACCCTTCCTCCGAGTAGGCTATGCTTCTGAAGCAGGCGCTGGAATCCAAGTTAGATGCAGACTTAAGTAACATGCTCAGAGGACAGAGCAGTTCTGACGAAGCCTCACATAGAAGTAGCCATGTCTAGCCTCCCGTCTGTTCCTGGTTCCTGGACAAAGCGAGAGCCCTTTGCTTCTCTTGCATAAATTACGAAAAAAGAGTTAGATTTGCACTGAGTTGGCCTGCATTGTACAAAGATGACAAAAGATGACAGGTTCACCTTGAGACAATTTTGAGGAGGTCAGAGTAGCATTTTCTTCAGGAGACGACTTTACAGTGACTAATTTGGTTCCTTACCTGCTCAGAATCATGCTTGGCATAACCGGATTTTATTTATTTGTTCTTAACTTACCCATTAAATCCATATCTTTCTCTTTGTACTGCTTTATTTCTGTTTTCTTTCTAATTTTGTACGCTCAGATTGCTCTTTTGTATTCATTATTTTGCGAGAGAGTCCCATATAGCCCAGGATGGTTTGGAACTCACTATACAGCACAAGATGACCTTGAATTCTTGATTCTCCTGCCTCTACATCTCACACAGTGGAATTACATGTGTGCACCACCATGCCTGTATTTTGACTCTGATTAACTGTAGTGATGCTTGTTTTCTGCTCATTTACCTTGAACATTGGAGACAATGCAGTCAGGCTTGATGACTTTGGTATCAAGAATCTCTTGGGCTCCATCTTGACTACATAGCCAAGTGATGTACAGAGTGTTGTTTTGCTCTCTAGATCCTGCCTTCTACAATGAAGGAATGGAAACGCCGGACTCTAACAGATTTATATGGACAAGTTCACAACAACAACGTGGCGTCTCATGCTCAGAATGACTAAGGATTTACAATGATGGGTGTGGAACATTCTATCAAATATAGGACTCTCTGATCACAGGAGCCGCCCCTCACATGCTAGCAGTACATCTTTAACAGCGAGTGAGCAATAAACAGGTAACCTGAATCAAAGGCAACAGTGTCTCCTGACAAACAGTAACATTTAAAAGCATTCTGCATTCGGTTCACTGACTTCCCAATGATCTCTCTGTGTGTATTTTTCTGTCACCCTCGATTTCCCTTCAGAAAAGGACAGGTCTCCCAGGGATGTCAGCAGAAATGGCATAAGAAGATGCAATAAGACTAGGCATAAACGAGGCTGGATGACGCAATCCAGTAGGAGGAAAAGAGTTCCAAGAGCAGGCAAAAGAGTGATACACCCCTACTGCCACTGTTAGGAGTCCTACAGACCCCAAGCTAACCAACCATAGCATATGCAGAGGACCTAAGTGCAGACTCATGCAGGTTCTGTGACTGCTGCTTCCATCTCTGTGAGTACCTGTGAGCCCTGCTTAAATGACAGAATGACTGTTATTAAAAACAAACAACAAATTCTAGTAAGAATACAGGGGAAAGGATCTTATATACTTTTGGTTAGAATGTAACTTGGTCCAGCCACTATGTGAATTTCAAAAAAAAAAAAAAATCTCAAAAGATTGCTTCTGGCCATAGACCCAAAGGATTCTAAGTTAGTACACCATAAAGATGTTTGCATAGTGTTTATTACGGAACTATTCACAATAGCCAAGACCTAGAAGTAACCTAGCTGCACACCAGCAAATGAATGGATAAGGAATATGTGAGGTTCATAGTTAATGGCGCATTTGGGTTAACCAAAATGAAGGATAAAATAACATAATTATGAAAATAGATGAAACTAGATGCCAAACCAGAAACTCAGATGTTGTATGTGGAATTTCTATGTGCAATATGGATTTTAAAAAACAGACATAAAAAGGATGAGGACTATTTGAGAAGGTTAAAAGGAACAGCTTGAGTGGAAATGTTAGCTTTGAGGATGAATGTGATCAAAGTTATTATGTGTATATGAAAACTTATGACTTTATTATATAATATATGCTAATTGTTTCTCCATTCTGCGTGTTTTCTGTTCCCTCTGTGATTATATCCCCTGCTGAGTAGAAGCTCCTTCATTTGACATAATCTCATTGGCTAATTTTTGCTTTTATTATCCATAGAATCTTGGTCAGGGCCCAGACATTGGAGTACTTATAGTTTGTTTTTTCCTAGTCGTTCAATCATTTCAAATCCTACATTTAGGTTTTTGTTATATTTTAGTAAGTTTTTTTTTATGTTGTAAGAACTAGGAACCCACTTAATTCTCCAGCTTATGTATCCAATTCCCCATCACTTGCTTGTACTACACAGTGGTAAAAAATAGCGACGTCTTGAAATTTGCATACAAATGAATGGATCTAGAAAAAACATATTGAGTGAGGTAACCTAGACCCAGAAAGACAAATATAATATGTATTCACTCATAAGTGGCTTCTAGACATAAAAGAAAAAAACCAACCTACAGTCTACAACCCCAGAGAACCTAGACAACAAAGAGGGCCTTAAGAGAGACATACATAGATTTACATGGGAGGGAGAAAAAGATAAGATATCCTGAGTCAATTGGGAGCATGGAGGTCATGGGAAAGGGTATAAGGGGGGAAGGGAGGGGAATGGAGAGAAATGTATAGCTCAATAAAAGTACTACAAAAAAAAAGAAAAAGAATTTTTTTCAACCTTGTAGAAAACCAGTTGATTATTAAGTATAAAAATCCATTTCTGTATCCTCTATTCTTTTCCATTGGCATCAGGTTCCTATTGTATATGGAAGAGAGTGCCATCCCATCATAAATCAATGAAATTCAGTCATTTGTGGCAGCAGGGATGGAAATCAATAACTGAAAATAATCATGACCTGAAAGACTAACACCACAAGTTCTCTCACAATTTTGGACACTAAAAACATTGGCCTTGTACAAGCAGATGCTCAAAGAGCAGTCAATAGAGCCTGGGAAGACTACCTAAAAAAATACAGGGGACTAGAGAACAGAAACTGAGATACAGTGGGGGGAATTAGCTCTAGTGTTCTAAAGTATAGTAATGCAATTATAATACACAGTAATTTATTATATGTTTCAGAATAACTAGAAAACTATTATAAAATGATAGCTATTTAGGAGAAAGAAGTGGTAATTAGGTTGAGTTTCATCATTACATGTTGTATACAAGTATCAGCTTATTACACCGTACCCTAAAAATACGTACAAGTATCTGATGGTATTTAAAAAATGTCTATTCATCTTAATGACTTTGCCAGTAGTATTTTCTAATTCAAAATAAGACATCTGAGTAATTTGTTCTTTTGGTGTAATATTTTGATTATCTTATCTTCAACTTCAATGGGATAATTATAGTCATTATTTCTTTAACATTAATCTCTTTTGATATCAGAGATTAATGCAGTATTAAAATGCTGTTTTCCTTAAAGGAAATAAAATCTTAAGGAGATTCAGTCATCACTCAGTATCATAGACAGCTGGGTCTAAGATCCACTCTCTTTGATACTGAAGTCCAGTAAACGATACACCCTTCTATACCTTTCACTTTAAATAAACTTTCGATTAATGATGTTACCAAGTAAAGAGAACCATGGTAATCGACAAAGACAGCCATAAAATGTTTGTCCATTAGTTGGTTATTTTAAGGCATGAGATTTCATCCATGAAAGGCAACTGGAACTTTGTCTTAGTGTTTTCAGCTCTTTGTTTTTGAAATGAACTGTTAACTTTTATAAAATGGGGCTATCGCTCTTTGATTTCCAGAATTTCCGTGCAAGGGACTTTGTCATCTTAGATACATTTTTCAATATTAGCAATCTACAACTTTTAAACAAGTCAGGATTTGGGGGAAGAGAGAAAAATGTGCTTCTGCAGAAAGTCCCAGTAGAAGGCAATGACACCTGTGACTGTCATATACCTGGAGTAGCGAGGGAACTAGAGCATCATGCAGGAACTGGCATCTGGGTACTGGTTTGCATATTGTCAGGAGCTAGTGAAGAAACTAAATCCTCAAGATATTGTGGGAGTTTTGAAAGTATACAAATGACAGATGTGTATTAGGACAAGTGACAGAATATGCGCCAAGACAATCTTCATTTTGTGGTGCGGAGAGTGAAGAATTTAATAATGATCTCCTTAGAAGGAAGCCCCTGCCTTTCCTGTTTGCCTTCGGTGCTGCAGTCAATATTCTAACATCAAAGAAATTAGAATGGACCTTTTTCCTTCCTTCCTTCCTTCCTTCCTTCCTTCCTTCCTTCCTTCCTTCCTTCCTGTCCGTCCTTCCTTCCTTCCTTCCTTCCTTCCTTCCTTCCTTCCTTCCTTCCTTCCTTCCTTCCTTTCTTTCTTTCTTTCTTTCTTTCTTTCTTTCTTTCTTTCTTTCCTTCTTCCCTACTTGCCTCTCTACTTTGGTCCACTGTGAGACTTTACTCATCCAAATCTCACCTCAAAGGTCATCTTGTGAGGTCATCTGGAAGTGACTTTGCTCTGTTGCAAAATGCACACCTTTCTCCTTAATTTGTTCATTTTTTCTTTATTATCTTTCTTCAATATCTTTCAATTAAAATGAATTCTTTAATAGAGGAAAGAAATAAAACTTTTTTATGACTAATTTCTCAATGTCAAGAACAGTGCCTGACACAGAGGAGAACTCGTTAAGTATTTGTTGAATGAATATATTAGCAGCTGAGTAATAGCGGGATACTTTCAAGAAGGAAAGGGTTTCCTTAGGGTAGGAAGCTAGGAAAAAAATGCTTGTTAGAATAAAGGCCAAAAAGAAGATTATGGTGGTCTGAGAAATGTCCCCATAGGCCCATGTGTCTGAATACATGGTGATGATGGCCTCCAGATGGTGGCACTGTTTAGGGATATGGTGCAGCCTTCCTGGAGAAAGGATATTGTTGGAGGTGGAGTCTGAGAGCTTATAGCCTCGCCCCACTTCCAATACATTCTTTAACCAGAGATGGGATCGCATAACTTCCTGTTCTGGCTGCCTGCCACTATGCTTTTCCTGTCATTGTGCACTGTCCCTCTGGAAACAGATCCCACATGAACTCTCTCGCCTACAAGTTTCCTAGGTTATGGTATTTTATTAAGAAACTAAAAAGTAGGTAACACAGAGACTTGTAGGTTATATATTCCATGCGGAAGACTTGGAGAGAATATCAATCATAGGTTGTGAAAGACATGGAATCCCAAAATGGTCTTGGATTAGGCACACAGAACAGCAGAGGGAGGTAAGTTCATGCTCCCTTTTCTTAGCCTTAGAGAAAAACCAAACAGAAGCAAAAAGCGGCATTCTTGTCAAAGGATCAGGTTTTCTTCCGTGTTTTCTCATGAAACGTGATGAAGCAATTGTTGGAAGGGTGAAGTTGGGAAGATCTGTCAGGGCTGAGAGCATCCTTTGATTGTATATGGTTCTTAAGAGGGAAAGCACGTACCACCTAGAGTGGGCTCATTATTGATCCTTCCAGTGTCCTTATGCAAGCCATGGTGACTTCCATTCCTTTATAAAGATTTTCAGTGTTGACAACATCAACAAGCAGTCCTGAACTTCCCTTTGGTCCTGTTTCATACTAAAATAACCCCCAAGGGGGCTCAGTTCTTACGCATATTGCATTTCCTACTCTTCCAGAGGACCTGGGTTTGACTCCCAGTACCCATATGGTTTTTCATAACTATCTGTAACTTCAGTTCCAGGAGATCCAACACACTCTCTGGCCTGGTGAGGATCAGGCATGCATATGGTACAGAGACATATGTAGAGGCAAATTATTTATAAAATAATACAATAAATTTACCAGGGAATTGGTATACAAAACTCCTATTTTGTTTAGCTTGTTCAGTCATTCTTTCTTTTGGTGCTGGGGAAGGAACCCAGGATGGTGTGCATGCTAGACAACTGCTCTATCCCTGAGTCACATGCTGAGGGCCTAGCTTCTGTAAACCACCTGACCCATAGAAGTGAATGAATATACATCAATCCAGCCAGGAAATTACTTTAAAATACTTTAGAAATTGATGTTCCTGATACCTATTAACCTTTCAGGAGGCCTGCATGCAAATGAAATATCAATGGTCTGCTTTTGGAGCGAAACCAGGGGAGGACAAATGCTGCAGAGTATTGGACAAGCACAAATGCTGCTAAAAGTTAAACAATAAATTTATAGCTAAATAAATTACATTAATGCAGGGATAATATTGATTTTCTTGCTAATTATTTTATTACTTTTTATTTGCATTCCTACCCTTGAGATTCTTCAAGTCTACAGTATCCACGTATTGAAAATATTGTATTTTCAGCTCACTGTCATCGCCTCCTAGTTCCGTGTCCCCTGAGGTCACACTGGAGTACGAATTCATCCATGGTGAGAAATTCTGCACTGCATGGAATCTGGTGAGCACTACAAATAAAACTGATCTTCTGTTTATATTTTAAAATAATTGGATGTTAAACATTTGCTAGGAAACATTCCACTCATCTGTGAATTGCCATTATACATGCCTTCAAATGTTTTTTCTTTTTATATGTGTATAAAGACCTGGGCATTAAACTGAGGGCCTTGTGAATCCTAGACAAATATTCTTCCCCTGAGCTGTATACCCAGCCTTCTTTTTACACATTTATTTTTTTGAGACAGGTGCTCACTAAGCTGCTTAGCCTGGCCTCAAACTCACTCTGTAGCCTAGACAGGCCTAGAACTTCTAATCTTCCTGCCTCATTCTTCCAGCAAACTATGATTACAGGCCTGTGCCACAAGGCCTAACTTTTATATAACTTTTAGTGGGAGAACTTCCAAGCATGAGACTCTTTAGAACAAAACAATAAAAAATATCTACCTCCTTCATGAGTTCCTGTATGCTAATAAGTTTTGAGTGTTTATTGTTTTTAATCTCTTCAAACAATTTCTAAGGAGTTTTCCAGATTAAACAGAATTCTTTTATTGGATTGGAATTGCTATTGTAGTAAAATTCTTCTGACATTGGAGCCTGGGAGGTTTTTTGTTAATAAGCCAGAATTTTTTACTGTGTTTACTGTAGTAGGTGCTGAAGGCTTTATGCCTCCAGGGAATCGGTCCTAGACAGTAACTAAAGGCAATGGTGAGAGATGGGTTTGGTTATTTTTCTTATTTTAGAATGCCTTGATTTTCCCCCACTCCTATCCACAGATGTAGAGAGATAAACTGTCACATTTGATTGTTTAAATATGTTCTCACTTCTCTGCTCATAATTTCTCAGACATGAGTTGGTAAGAAAACCAACTTTCCTTGGCTAACAAGTCTAGGATGAGAGTAAGACCGAGACATCAGTCCCAAACAGTGCAGTCATTTCTGCCATGTGGGCAAGGACTTGAACATCCTCCACGTCCCCATCCAAAAGAAAGAATTGAACTAATACTCAAATTCATTGATAGAAATGCTCTTGAGAATTGATTTTTGACAGGCTGAGAAATGAAATGGCCCTTTCAATGCTGCCCCAACTTTCCCTAGGGGTACATTGTCATTTGTAACATTGTTGTCATCATTTGTAACACTGTCATCGTCTGTAACACTGTCATCTGTAACACTGTCATCGTCTGTAACACTGTCACCATATGTAACATTGTTGTCATCATCTGTAACACTGTCATCATCTGTAACATTGTCCTCTGTAACACTGCCATCTGTAACACTATCATTTGAAACACTGTCATCTCTAACTGTCATCTATCACACTGTCATGAGTAACAGTCTTCTAGAAAGCTGATGACTACAATGTTGGGACTGTTATATAGGAATTAGAAATAGTGAGTTTCTAATGTGACAGAACTCCATTTATATTTATATTTATCTTCAATTATTTACTTAGTAAATGGGCCCGGAAGGAGCCGGGGTGGAGCTCAGTGAGAGAGAGCTCACCAAGTAAGCGCACAGCCCTAAATTCTATCCCCAGCACCACTCAAAAGAAAACAATTAACAATACTCCAAGGTTGCTGAAAAATAACTTGCTCTTTTACACAAGTTAAATTTAATACCCAGAAGCCTCTAATAAGTTGGTTCCTTACAGCAAAAGTTTAGAATATTTCAGTAGAGAGGAATTACTTTATCCGAAATAGATGACCTTGGGTCATTGTTTTGGTAGTAGCCACAAATAGCAACAGCTCTTTGAAATGATTAACCAGAAGGATACAGTGTCTTGCAATCATGTGGGAACATACCAGTTTCCTCAGTGGGATACATCTGCAATTCTCTTAATGATCAGGAAACAGAAGCAAATGTAAGGCTCTTAAGAGGGGCAATGACTGACCAGTTTTGAATTGCATTTTCTCCCTAATAGTTCCGTATTCATTTAAATAAAGAGTTAAATTGAGTCTCATCCTTAACATGAGAGGAAGAGGGAGCACTGGTGTGTTGTGAAAAAAAAAGGCAGAAGGAGAGAGACATACATACAGTTAGTACATTTAAGTGTATATGTTAAGTGTGTGTATTTAAACTTGCCTAACGTGAAAACAGTGGTCCCATGTTCTTCTTGGGACTTCATCTTGGCCATATGGTAAAGCATCAGACATTCTGGGCCATAATATGGAGACAGCATCTATTGGCATATAAGGAGTCAGAGGCAGGGATGTTGTTAGATAATCTATAAGCGCTGCAAAAATTATCCGGCCTAGACTAGCAATAATGCTGAAGCTGAGAACTTGAAACAAAGCTAAACTGTTTGGAACATTAGATCAATGAGGTATTTATCAGAACAAACGGGAAGATGATCAGCATATATAATGTCAACTGACAAGTTATGAATAATGTTATTAAATTTATTTTTTTAGTGACAGCTCTTCATCCATTATAGCCTAACTAAATGGTGCTAGTCACTGAGCACTTAATGCTAAGCTCTGGGCTCAGTCTGCATTATCCTGATCTAAATACCTTGTAGCCATGTGTCCTTGACATCTTAGTACTGAAAGTGATTCTTTATTATGTCAAATATCCTCTAGGGGTCAGCAGTCACTTGCTCTGTCTCTCAATGATTGTCAGTACCATGACCTTGAATGTCAGGACAAAATGAGTTAATATCTTAGAAATGCTCTGTAACTCAAAAGGATATTATATAAAGACTCCCTAAGGGTGCTAGGATATTAGCATTAGAAAATACAAAGGGAGGTGACGGGGTTTATCAAAGGTGTTTGAGTTAAACAGAAGAGGAGCACACACATCATATTAGCTAAAGAAAGACATTACTATCTAACCCTGGATACCGAGGAAGGGGAGTGGATGAAGGATTTAACTCATCTCCATCCCATTCAAAACAGCTGACTACTTTCAAAGGCTGAGGGTGAGTGAAGTGACTTTGATAAGACTTAAGGCCTTAAGGCGCTAAGCACATCAAGTCTTTGACCTTGATAAGAACTAGGTAGCCAGGTATCCAAGGTCAGGGTTTCTTCTTAGGTAGTCATAACTGGATAAGATGATAAGAATTACCCTTTTGTAGGAAAATCCAGGAAGATTTTATTTAAGACATAAAAGTTGTGACCCATGAAATGTAATTATGTTTTGTAACTAAAGGAATTTGTTCATATAGTATACTCTTTAAATAACTAAGAGAATTTAGTCCAATAAAAGAAGATCAGTTTTTTGATTATAGTTTAAAATATGTAACTGAATAACTGGTTGAAATTGAGGGTTTTAAATAAAAAAGTATTAAGTTTATATGCTTTATTGAACAATTAGAAACCTTTTAGCTGTACCATTTTTTATGGAATGCTTAATTTACTACATAAGACTGGCTTCCCTGGGAGACTGGGGGTGTGTAATACTTCAGTGGTCAAGTGTGTTCCTAGGAAGAATTCTGGGTCCCATCCCCAACACCACCAGTATTTTTCTTTATTGGAGAATATTTTATAATGTATATGCTTTACAAAGATACAAGTATTAAATATATATAAATCCCCTTTCAAAGGATTCTCCCAAAGCAGTTGGGAGGAAATACTGGCAAACTCCAGTATTTCCGGAAGTGCAGGGGGAGGGTGCGGTAGTGGGGAAGAAAAGGCAGATGAGTGACCCAAACCAAAGTGCTCCACTCCCAAGTGTTACAACTCTCAGAACTCAGGAAGCTGGGCTTTGAAGAATCATTCTTCAAGCAGACATAAACAACAAAGACAAGGTAAAGAGTAACAGAGAAGAGAAGATACAAAATAAAGAGCAAAACTGATACTTGGGGAACTAGAAATAAAGGAACATGGCAAACCTAAATACATTGGCAAGATTAGTAACTTCAAGGAGAGTCAAGAAACAAATTGCATTTATAAAACAAGAGCAAGAACCTATGAAAAAGTACTAATGGGCAATGACAATGTCGTTAGACATCAAAATATACTTGCCAACATAAAACATAAACATAAACATAAAACATAGTGAACAATATTTTTTAATAGTTATATTTGACGCCCAGAGGAGATGTATACACAAGACAAAAAAAGGTGCCAATATGAAATTACAAGACATAAGGATCTGTTCAAGTGTTCCAATGTGTGTCTTCTTTAAAATGGAGAAAATGTAGGAATATAGATATATTTAAGTTAGAAATTCTATGTAATACTAAACAGGAGGATTAATAAAAAGAGTCACCTATATTTATCATAATAAAAATAGGAAACTCAAGTAAGAATTAGAAATAAGAAGTTAAAAAGGGAATAAATAAGAAGCAAAAAAAGGAATAAATTACTTACAAACCATAGGTCAATATTCTTCTTATGACTAATTAACATGGTGCAAGAAAGATAGTGAAGAAAAGTCAGAGTGCAAAATACATTCTGAAAGTAAAATTCCACATCAATAAGAACTAAACACAACATCAATAAAGTAAAAAAGAAAAAGCAAAAGTTCAGAAAGCATAGTAAATACAGTAAATACCATATATGTGTGTATTTACATCTATATGTACATCTATACACACATATATTAATAACACTAAAGTTTCACAACAAAACAAAAAACGAATCCACACTGAAACTTGCACAAGATAGAGACCAGCTACATGTGACCCAGAAGCTCAGAACGTAACAGAAAAGAGAACGTGAGAGTGACGGCTTGGATGGCTTGGAGACTGGAGCCATCACTTTGAGGGTCGAATTTAAGGATATCAGCTTCTAAATTATATCATACTTGTTGATTAATCAGTTTCAAAAGAGTGCAATGTACATAAATAAGAATACTATTGTTATATATATTACGTTCCAAAATTTTCATCTTTCATAATACAAAGTTAATAGGTTCCAAAATAGAGGGTTAAGTATAATCCTCAAGTCTGTTCTGATACCTATCATATGACTTAACATGTAAATTCTTCTAAAGGTGATTTTTTTTCCCCAAGAAATATATTTCTGAAAGAGACTGGACAGGGAAGGGAAGCAATTTGTGGTTTATATCCGGTTGTTCTATTGACACAATATTCTTTCAATGTGCAAAAGTCATGATTTTATCTTATTTAAATTTTTTTATTAATATAAATTATATTAATTAAACACATATTTATTATATTAATAAATTATATAAATATACGATTAATATATATTAATTAAATTTATAATATATAAATTATATTAAATAAAATATAATGTTTTATTTAATATAAATAAGCATAGTGAAAACACAAAAAATTGAGGTAAAAATTTAAAGTTTTATTGAACAAATATCTTTCATATTTTATACATAATACTTAACTTAAAAATATTTTTTCTATTGCATGCTTTCTTTGGCTTTCCAGCAGAATAAACTGAATTATTCCTGTTAGCTTAGACTTCAGTACACAGGGCTAGAAAGAGGTCTTGTGGGGACAAGTGCTCGCTGTGCAAGCATGAGCACAGGAGTTTGGCTCTCAGCCCCCATGCAAACAATGTGGCATGTCACTCTGGTCCTATAGGTGTCAGAGACAAGTGGCTTCTCTCAAAGGATACGGGGTGGGGCGGGGGAGAGTGCAGGACATACCCTCTGGAACCTCAACATGCACACACACACACACACACACATTTACACTCAACACGCACACATGCACATATACACACACACACCATGCTGAGGAATTACAAAATTCAACCTCAAATAGGCAAATTCTAGAATTTAAAAGAGGAAGCATTGAAGAACTGCCCAAAACAGAAATAAGCTAATTGGACATAAAATACACAGCTACACAGCCAAGTACCTGCAAACAGCCTTGTAGCAAACAGCAACACTGTCACTTTGAAAGACTAGAACTAGAATCATGCATTGGATGATTGCTTGCTAGAACAAGGGCTCGTGTCTGGGGAAAGAGCCCACAGTAAGAGAGGCCCACTTTCCATTCATAGAAACTTCTGTATTCCCCTTTGCCACCCGCCTCCTTCACTTCCTTCAGTGTCTCTTGCACTGGGTGTTTGTTTTGCATTTTCCCCAACTCTCAGAATGCCAGCCTCTATGCATAGGACTTTATTCCTCATCAATCCTCAGTACACGTGACAGGTTCTCAATAGTTATTAGCTGGATGTATAAACTAAGACCTCTACATTTTTTTTTCACATAATTTGTCCCAGAAGCTGTCTTTGTTTGATTTATTTAAAACTGGCCAGGCTAATGTCCAATTATTTTTCTATCTCTAGTCAATTGTCTAACTAATTCAATTATGAGCATGTTGAAAAACACACATTTTTCCATCCCCAGGATTATTAGACAATCCATTATAAAATAAGTGCACACACAGAGGATCCAATAAAAGAAACCAGCCCTTCCGTTTTCCCTCCTCTGCCTTTCCTCACTCTTCCCCCTCCCTTCAGTCTATGCAATTCTGACTGCTCTTGAATTTAGCAGCCTCTTCCTGCCCTTCCCTCTTGAACATGGCTCATAAGTGCACGGGCCACCAGGCCCTCAGAAGTCCCCATGTCCTTAGGGTCTCTCAGTCTTGTTTAATACTAGGAATAACAGGATAGATGAGGTATAGTGATTTTGGTCCCATTTTGTGGGAATATCTATTTCTCAGACTTCATTATAAAAATCCGCGGCAGCCTGTGCACCTGCTAGAGATGTTTTGATACTTCATGTCTTCCTCTCAGTTTCTAAGTCATCCCTTGTTCGTCCCGACCACTCCAAGACCCACTTATGTCTATCCTTCTGCATAATAAGTATACTTTCTTGCATCTGGAGAGATAACGATCACTACATTAATATTTTAAAACCACATCAGACAACAGCTTACTTAAATACAGAAATCATTTGTTTTAATGGAGAGAAAGACGATGATATTACTTACAAGGCAACACACAATATATTGAAACTTTAACTCGTGGACTTCGTTTTCTGGCTGACATCAGCAAATATACCTCAGCGAGCCAATGACTTTTTTATGCAATAGGGGACAATGTGTTCACCCTAAAAAGCTGCCAAGTCATTGACTTATTTTGCCAAGAGCCAAAGGTGTCAAGCATACCTTATGCCTTCCATAAGTTGGCTGCTCCAGCACTTGGCATACTGCAAGGTTGTTTTTGGCAGGCAGATGCGTATCCAACTTCCTATTCATTAGGGCCCCAACATGGCTGAACTGTTGAAAGTGACCTTGTAGGAAGCTGAATGGCAACCCAAGAAATCACTTCTAGAGTTCTGTTTTTTAAAAAATACTCGAGTTAGGGATGTTAGCCCATGGTCTAGCACTTGTTAACATGTAAGACTCCTGGGTTCAGTTCCCAGCTTCAAATTAAAAAAAAAAATCCTGTTATTTTATAATATTTTTTTCAAGAAGTGTGAGACATGGAATTGTTGGTGAATATTATTTAGACATAACCCATTTTTGTGTGTTTACCAGACTGAAGCAGTGCTACTGGCAGAAAAGAATCAATGCACCTCCTTTTACTTCCTGCTTCAAAGGAAATGTTTTTGTCATATTATTTTATATCACTGATTTGAAGGGATGTTTTCCACTAAAAGTTCCAGATTATTTCTTGTTCTTTTTACCTGGAAAGTTCCCACTTCCCATTCATGGCATCACATTCGTGCCCCCCCCTCCTGTCATTTAACTCATGCCCCGAGTGACTGCTGAGCAGGAGTGTGAGCGGCACTGTGTGGGGAACAGGTGTGCAGTGATCAGCGCAGCACATAGCCCAGCCACTGTTTCCGGGTGTGTAGAGAAGAGGGGATTCAGACACACAGACTACGGAAGACTGCAAACGATGACTGGCACCATCAGTACAAACCACAACAGTGTCCATTCAGTGGGTTGGGAAGTATTCCATGGGATTTTTAAAAATATCATTGCACCCGGCTTGGATTTCTCCTCCATGGTGGCACCCAGGATGTCATATACCAAGTGCTGAGCCGTTGTCCCGGGTTTCCTATCATAGACAGACTTGTCCTTTCTTACTAGCATCTCAAACGCACAATCTGTAAATCTTCTTGCCTTCATCCCAAGGCTCAAAAACACTTCAAATAATAATAATATGTCTCTAATAATGATATCTTATATTGTCTACTCCTTTGTTGTGGTTTATTTATGTACCTGTGTGAATATATAATAGGAAGAGGCTGTCAGATCCCTTGGAACGGGGCTATAGGTGGTTGTGAATAGTCTGATATGGGTGTAGGAAACCAAATTTACATCCTCTGGAGGAGTAGGAGTAATATTAACCAAGATCTACCCCTCTCGTCCCATGCTTTTTTGTTGTTAATGAAGCTACGTTAAATTTTTTCCTATACCTTTGAATGCTTGAATAGTGACTGGCCCTCTAATCTCCTTCCAGAATCCTCACTTCTCCTCCAGCTCTACTTTCTAAGTGTTTCCAGAGACCTCTGTTTAACATATAGAAACCTTTTTTTGCTGTCTTTGGCTCCCACATCTAACAGAAATTTGTTCTCCATCCATTACTATGCCTCCATCTTTGCTCGGCCAGCATCCTCTCGAGTCATGATGTCATCCTGCTTCCTTCTGTTATCCTTCTTGCCTGTTTTCACTTCCGTTTTCCATACATCCCTTATTTTATTTGTTGGTGTTTGAACTTTTTGTTTTTCACCTCATTACACTCCTGCTGGACTCTATTCAACCCCATGAAATTGCACTTCCAAGGTGACAATAAGATGTCCCATGGCTGAGAAGAATTTTGACCTGCAGGACATTTTTCTTTCCTGCCTGAAATCCTCCCCCTCGCAGACACCAACAAGGACCTGGTTTCTTGTCCTCTTCCCTAAGAGCCCCTTACTTTTATTTGCAGATGTTTAATTTGTGACAAGTCTTTGGAATTTCCCCACCAACCCTCTTGCACACTGGGGATAAGAAATGACAATGACTAGTATATTTGGAGTTCTAACTGAGTCCTTCTCAATATAAACTAGCCTTCTAGTTTATATTGAAGTCAACACTTAAAAATTAGGAGATCTTACACAAAAACTGAACAACTAGTGTGCCTTAAGGAGTCATACTTTATGCCCACTATGGATAAAAGGATAAAAGAAAACAGACTGTTTAAATGGCTATTTGGTGGCAAAGTAGTAACAAAATACCGGTGTTTTCTATTTTTAAGATCCAAAAGCTCTATTAACCAAGGAGTTCTATAACTAATGCCAACACCGAATTTACAGTCTGTGTTCTGTTCCTCTACTTTTCATGTTTTTTTTTTTAATGTGTTTGCTTCAACACAGTCCCTATGATTTGCTTCCTCTTGTATTATTCTCCAAAAGAATCGGACTCAAAGTCCTTTAGTCTTTTTTCCTCTCAGTACTGAGTTTACCTAGCAAAAGGGCAAAATAAATAAAATACTAAAAGGAGATATGTAAAATTTAAATCAATGATGCTTTTTCTGGTCACAGAGTATATAAATTGCCCGAGGTAGACAGCATTGACTTCCTTTATCCCAGAGGCCTTTCTTATTCCTAATTTCTAAGGGACTTTGCACAGTAGGAAATAAGAAAGCTAAGGAGAAAAAGATGGCAAGGTGGAGGTATCTGAAGACAAGAAGTCGCTGTGTTCATTTCCCTCTTCACCCCATTGCATAAGATCCAAAAATATATGCTCCGCGATGATTAATCCTAAAACTTCCATCTCTCAGTGTTGACATTCCAATTGCGGTTCCACCTTATTCCAGGAATACGGCATACATCTTTCTGCAGGGGAAATCAAAAGCACGAGTGGAAAGAACAGGATGACCTACAAGCAAAAGGACTACCCTTGCTTTAATTAAGAAGGAGCAGAAAGCAATTTCTTCCTCATTCTTATTCAACCACATTGAAATGTTACCCCATGCACTGTCATTTTTAAACTCCTAACGGCACTGAGCTAACATCTTTGAAAGATTTATTTTTGTTTTGAAAATAAAAATCCATGCAGAATGCAGAGGGAATGAATGTCTGCACGGGGACCGTGTAAATCAAGATTGTGTTGGCTGCATTTGATAGCTTGCCTTGATGCCTCCTAACCCACCAAGCTTGGTTGCTAGGCAACCAGGACCGCTTCTCTGAATATAGTTATTAACAGGTTTAGGTTGCACTGAAAAAAAAAAAGAAAAGAAAAATAAAAAGAAAACAACATGGACTGGAAACGAGGGCAGATGTATTCCGCACCTGAAAATCTGGGAGAAACAAGCTATCCTATAAACTAAATATTTGAAATCAAATGCATTTGATACCTTTCATTACCCTCTGCAACTCTCCAGTGGGACAAAAGTGGTTCAGTGTCTCATTTTAGGTAATACTTCTGGCCACAAAATATAGAGAAATACACTTATTTATGTCACTGTGACTTGCAATTCTGTGTCTAAAACCACTGGTAGGTTCTACTTATTTTCTATGAGTGAGTTTGTTACGTATGTAGCAAGCAAATGCAAGCAAACAAACAGCAACTGGCAAGTAGAAGCAGCAGACAGGGAGCAACACCTCACCGACTGGGGAGTTTACCACATTCCTACCATAGCCAGCAGAGAGGGCTAGAGTAGCCTGATCACCAGTGCAAATAAATGTGACATACCCCAGAAATCAAATAGGAAGCAAACAATAATGCAAGAACGCAAAAGTCCCTGACGGAGACCTCTTCGCCCACAGACAAGCTTCCTGCTCTCCTCTCCCATCAGAGGTGATTTTACAGTGCGGAATAAACCGTGAGGAAGAGCTTACCATTGCTTTCCACCATCTATATCTCCTCCCTGTTTTCGTGGGAGCAGGGTTTTATATTTTACTTTTACTTTTGAGAATTTCATATATGTATATAAGATCTACTTCTCTTCTGGTCCCTCTATCCTCTGTGCCCCCCCCCCAGCTTTGTTAATTTTCTGATAACCCACCAAATCCAGCTAGTGCATGGTTGTGGGGCCATGCACTGAAATATAGAAAACCTGTCAGTGGTCACATCCTCTAAAAGAATGGTTCTCCTTTCCTCAGCAACCGTCTGCTGCCATCAGCCAGCTCCTTGCTTGGCGGGGAGGGAATACCTGGAGACCATCTACCCCAACTCTGAGAGGATTTTGGTGGCTTGGTCCTGCACAGCTCTTCCACGGGTAACCACGGCTGTTGTGAGTTCAGAAATTAACTGAAGTTCAAGCTCATTCTCATAAACGAGAGAACTTTTTAATATTGCATAGACAAGAACCCCTTCTGGAGATCATTTTAGCTGCAATTCTCTGTCAGGAGTTGGTAAGACGGATAAAATGCCATGGAAGAGAGGAGAACCCCGGCTTCAGGAAACTAGGCAGTTAGAGCTACAGCTAATTAAGGGCAGAGATGGAATGTGTATCCCGAAGGATAGCTCGCTTACATAAGCATTCCCCAGGCCTCTTGTACAGTTCTATATAATCCTTGCTAAAGTGGCAGAAAATGAAGGTGCCTATAGAATCTCTCGCCAATGGGAAAACTTCACCGCTGGATCTTAGGATGTAATTGTGACATCGGAGACATGCAACAAGATGTGTTTCTTTTCCTTCCTTCCTCTCTCCATTACAAGGTCTGGCCTTTTAGTCTCCTCACCTGAAAAGACCTTAGGGGAAAAGAAAAGCAAGAACAAAGTCTCTCTTTTATTTATCTCAAGAGGGGACATTAGTGTCAAAGACAGTTTGAACTAGACCTTATCCAGTGCAAGTTAAAATATGAGACTAATGACCGCAGACATCGAGCTTTAGGGCTGAAAGGTTGCTTGTTTATGGACACAGATCAGTGTGAGAGAGGGCCGTCTCTGTTCACTCAGCCTGCATAGTGTTGTCCCGCACCTGTCAGGTTAGAAATGTCTATATCACATCTGCTTGCCATTCATGTTTAAAAATATGTCGTGTTTCTGCTACTGCCGCTGCTGCTCAGATATGCAGACAGCTAGCACAAAGCCCGCCTGCTAAGATAAACATCTCATCAAACCAGTTAGATTCTGGACCTCAGTGGCCAGTGTCACCAGATCACACCTCTGTTCCATAACTCATGGTCCTTGCACTGATTTCATTCAGTCACTGAGTGTCAGGCTGGGATGCCTGATGTGACTGAGTCTGAGCATTCCATTGCTATATTCCTTTTGCCTTCTACTCTGTGAAGTTGGTAGCATTTTTGAACCTAGTCCTCCAAACTGAAATACCATATATAACTTGGGTGACTTTCTCCGGTGCCAGGAAAGGTGAACTAGCCAATTTCTTCCTGTGTTTGATGAGGAGGCACAGTAGATTTACGCAGTGGAGCTTGGTTAACCAGGCACACTGGACCCAAGAACCTTCTCATCCAGCTTTTGGGGCAGGTGCATGCTTTCATGTTTCCAGAGAACAAATCCAGCTAATTACACTCTCTTGGTTTGATATGGGAAATTAATGGCGATGATCATAAATTTAAAAGCTAAGAGCTAGCAAATTGTGCTAAGATAAAAATATCCAACTTCTGTGGTGGCAGAAGCCCTGGTATGTTTGCAGTCCTGAATATATTAGTCCCTGGGTTTGAAAGGAGTGGGCGTTCCCTCTGTAAGTTGAGAGAGCTGAAGAGTTTCCATCTCACTTTTTTTTTTAATTTAGAAGAATCAAAGCTAAAACCATGTACTTTTAAATTAATTGACTCATTTTCCTATGGATTGGCACTCATTGCTAGGAAAATTTTATCTTTCCTCCAGAGATTTTGGGTGTTCTATTCGTTTATTCTCCCCAGGTTATTGTACCTTTTGTTTTTTTCTTGCATTGCTCATGCTAACTTTCAAAGTCAAGAAAAACACCTTGTATTGTGATGTGCATCATAACATGGGTTGTTATATCTAGTAATTTAAATGTGAATTTAAGCCATGGCTATAGCTATACATATGATAAGGGTAACTCAGATAACCTCTTTAATGGCCAGTCTTAGGAACCCAGATTGGTACCAAAGCGGCACATTAGCAGCAGGGCCAGGAAAAATCCTGGGTTTCATCTTTAATACTCTTTGCATTCTTGTGATTGATCTTCACAGTCATCAACAAATTGGCTATAATGATCCCCATTAGGCATGTAAAGAAAGAGATCCTTGAAGAGATTGCAGCTACCATAGCAAGCCCCATAGTCTAACGCCAGTGACCTCCACAGACTTAGCCATGATTGCCTTCCAACTTTAGAGTCCTTGTAACCAAGGTTTTTCCAGAGGAAATTCAGTCTTCCCAGGCCCAGCATTTTCTTTCCCTACCTGCCCACTCTCAGATATAAAACCCAGGCCCTCAAGCTTCCATGGAGACCATTGGGCTGCATTCCTATACACTACCCTGGTTTTAATATAGTCCTGGAGCAATTTTTAAAATTTACTCATCACTAACTTAGCAATCTTCCATGATGGAATCTCTCTACCATTTTCTCCACTGGGAGGTGGCAGTCCTGAACTTATCTCCAGCTGAGAGCTCAGTGGGGTCACCGAGAACTATTTCCTCAGATAGCAGGAACCACCTCATCCTTACTACCTCAGTCTTTTACTTCTAAAGAACAACCATCATACCAGCTTTTCTTCCACACAGTGCATGGCATAGAAATGTCATCTCCACAGCAGGATGTGGCACATCCTCTCTGCTGTCCCAGATGTCTGAGGCAGCTAGCCTCCAAGCCATCACTCACAGTCTGCCTACACCAACCCATGGTAAATAGGCGCAAACTCCCCACACTAAGCAGGGTCCCAGATCACGCTGAACCAGTTGTGATTTATGAATACCATGCAAATTATGATATCCCTCAAACTCAGGGACTAAGTCACAACTGGTCTTACCATTCCTGTGCCCTAAAACATGAATGACAGCACAGATGAACTGCTAGGCAGAGATACTGGCCCCAGGGAGAACGAGCATCCCAGTGTGAGGCTTCTTCATAGAAGGTCAGGGTTGCTCATTGCATTTCTCTCCTTAATCTCAGACACAAGCCCTAGGGATATCATTGCACACTCCTGGAGGCCAGAGACTCTGACAGGTTGGAAGCTTTTCTAATTGAAACACCCAGGCTCTATTAAGATTTTAATATGGTGAAATGTCTCCTAAAAGCACTTGTGTCCCCAGGTGGTGGAACTGTTTGGGGGCATTGACAGGAGGAGATGAAGTCAAGCTTCCGAAGTAGGCAACAAGTACTAAGTTCTGAGGCTTCACAGCCTTCCCTCACTTCCTGCTGTTGTCACTTTCCACACTGTGGACATGTTGCCAGCTTCCTCAAACTCCTGCCAGCAGGCTTTCCCCACCATGACTGACAATGCCATCAAATGACAAGCCCTTTCTCCCTTTAGTTGCTTCTTGCCTGGTATCATAACAAGAAAAGAACCACAACCTCAAATCCAGAGGTCTGAAGTGAGAGTTGATAACCAGGGGTGGGGGGGGTGGGTGGGGGGGGCTGGCCTCTGGGCTTGGGTGCTTCGCTTTTCTGTGCTAGGCAGGCCGTTCAGATGGGTTGTAAATATTTTATTATATCCAGGGACAGTGAGGAAATATGAGAGGGGTTTAATCTACCTAGAAACCGATGTGGATCTAGGCTTAATGAAGCTTACTAGAGAGAAGCAGCATCTGGAATGGGTGGGAAAGGGGGAGGGTGGGAAGGAGCAGTAAACACAGAGGTTGGTGCACAGCCTGTTCCATTAGAGGCAATAAAACCCCAAGGGAGGGTCACAGTGGTAGAGCTGGACAAGGAAGCAGAGGGAAGCAGGAGGTCACACACACACACACACACACACACACACACACACACACATGCTGGTGGCAGTGTAAGGAAGGTACGCACGTACTTACAGAAATACTTGCCCATGACACGTTTATTTCCCTCATTGACAGACGAAGACACTAATATTCAAATGGTTAGGAGTTTATCCAAGATTACGTAGCTGGAGGTAAAATTAGGATTAGACCTAGAGTCAGTCTCAGCAGCAGACATTTTCCTGTTGCGGTCTCTGTCAGCAATGCACGGAACTTGAGTGTAGGGTAGAAGGATGTCACCCGGACTGAGAAAGAAGTTGCTTTTGAGACTTGTTTCCCTTAAGATGTCTAAGAAACTGTGAGTGGGGCTGGAGAGATAGCTCAGAGGTTAAGAGCATTGCCTGCTCTTCCAAAGGTCCTGAGTTCAATTCCCAGCAACCACATGGTGACTCACAA